CTCCTTTGTTTAGCTGTTCATCAGTCAAAAACTGATGTATGAGTTACTGTAGATTGGGTTAATTTGGCGCTACTTGATTTGGCGATTTTGCCATTTTTGGCATATTGGCGGCTATTTAATATGGCGGACATGCAAAAAATGTTAATACAATATTATACTTGCATGCTGTTAGTGAATAAACATGTAAATGGGCATGTTTGGCTATGTTCATTTTTTAAAAGTCCTCAAAAGTTGAGGACAACTGGCGATATTCACCACGTTTATACATTTTTGTGAGATCATCCTTGTTTACATTTTGCACCTCGATCGCTGCTGCAGTACTGTCAACCCCTAAAGATTTTCTCGCGGGACAGATTTTTTAGACCCAGTGCCCAAAATTCGCGGGATTTTGCGGGACATCTACTAAATTCGCGGGATTTCGCGGGACATTTAAGGGATTTGCGTGATTGCGCTAATAGGCTAAGTTTTCTTTATCAAATTCGCGGGATTTCGCGGGACCATTCGAGGGACAAACACCCTAATTGCGGGATAGTTAACAGGTTTACCACCAAAAATTTGATAGAGGGACAGATTTTTTAGACAAAGTGCCCTAAATTTGCGGGATTTCGCGGGACATTCACCTAAATTTGCAGGATGTCCCGGGACATTTAAGGATTTGCGTGATTGGGACTAATGTAAAAGCGTGTAAAAGTACTTAAATCAAACTTCCAGATACTGATTAATCAAATACAATGCACCGATGCATTGTAACTTAAATAAACGTCAACACAATTTCACAAAATACGTATAGGAATATTATTAAACTTTATTGTAATTTTTCAAAAGCAAAAACCATGCTTCAGGTGTGAGTACTGTAATCTAACACGAAATTCAAAAATTCGGAACAATACCTTTGCACTTCTGGCGTCGTGAACAACTATGAAATGCTTACCCCCATAATGTTATATATTAAAATGTACCTATTCATATACTGTAGGCATTTTCTTTCAAGTGAAGGGGGGGGGTTGCGATCGCACCCCCTCCTGGCTACGCCAATGACATTGTAAGACGATTTGAAAAACAAGACAAATCAATCTTACTCTATTTACAATAATTCGTTTGTTGGTACGTGAATTGTTTTGATTATGATTTAAATCTGTAAATAGCTATCGTTGCTTTAGCAGGGAGGTGACGTGTGTTAATTTACATGATTTTGATTATTAATCATAATTTTGTTTTCGACAAAATGTCCACTGAATTGTAAATTGTTATGTCTTACAATGTCATAGGCGTAGCCAGGAGATGGTGCGATCGCACCCCCCCCATAACCAATGAAAATATGGCCATGGCGATAGAGGAAGAAAAGAGCCTTAAATATGCTTTTTATTTGAAGCTTCTAGCTCAATTTTGAAGGATGTTACATACATTTTTGTGAATTCAAAATAAATCTTAAGTTTTCTCATAATCTAATTATGTTATATATTCGTATTTTTCGTTTTTTGGGTACCCGTTTTTTGACCGGGTACCGGGTACCAAGTTTGAACCCAGCATGGAGGATTTACTACCCGGTACCCGGTTTTTCTACAAACCCTTTCTAGATATCAGCGTCCATTTATTGTAACTCGCGTTTGCTAACATTTGCTCGGTTCTGAGATGAAGGCCACACGGATAGTAAAAAAGCCAACGTTAGAACTATTTTTGACCTACATCCCTATTTTCGTAATTAAAATGAAAGTTGAACCCTTCCTCTTTATTTTGATACCAAACAACAGCATGCTAGGTACTTAAAATTAGGTAAACTCACTCCTCAAAAGTGCAAAAACTTAGCTTCTTATATAAGATAAGATAATCACAATATAGGTGATTGCAACAATTTCGGAAATTCGCGGAGGTCAAACCACATTGCGGGACTTAGTAAATGTTAATGATTTTTTAAATGCATGTTCATATAAATAAAAAGTTATATTACATTGTTAATTATTTCTAAATTATCTGAAATTTGATTTCAAAAGATGTCTTAAATTAAATAATAGTGACAACTTGATGAATTATCCTTGAGCTTAACCGTTTTTTGAATACTTTTACAACTTTCTATTCAAAGTATCATGCAAAATGCCTCAGAAATGAATGACTTAAATTATTCATCATAAAAAAATTAAATTAGACATTGCACAAATAAATAGGGTTGAGTTTTACTGGGGTTGAGTTTTACAGGGTTGAGTTGACTTGGGGTTGAGTTTTACTGGGGTTGACTTGACTTAGGGTTGAGTTGAGTTGGGGTTGAGTTGGACTGGGTTGAGATGACTTGGGGTTGAGACCTGTCACCTTCCATGATAAAATATGGCCTTGGAAAAACAGATTCCAAAAGTCAAAAGTCAATCAGAGTGACAAAACATAAGTAATGCTTAACTAGACAACAGCAACGCCAAAGCGTAGCAAATCCCATCGAACAGCCATGGCTGGCATATTTTCAAACAAAGTATATAGCAAAAATGGCAGCCATTTTTCAAAATGGCCACCTTCTATTAAAAGTGTCAATTTAGACAGTGTGTCATGCTTATAGTATTCACATACGAAATATGAACAAAATCACTCCATACTTCTTGAGTAATGGTAAAATACGTTAAAATGATGGCCATTTTGAAAAATGGCCATCTTCTACCAAAAGTGTCATACGACAGTGTGCCATGCTTATAGTATTCACATACCAAATATGAACAAAACCTTTCTTCTACTTTTCGAGTTATAGTAAAATACATTAAAATGGCGGCCACTTTTCAAATGTTTTCATGAATCGCCATGTTTGTTATCCAAGGACGGTTGACTCCCAGAATGCAACATCAGTTAACCGTATTTACTCATGACAGGTTTCAAAATGGCGGAACAGCATTTTGAAAGCTGGAACGTGTCATGTTGCATTCTGGGAGCCAATCCTGTGTTCCGGCGCAATCGGGCGACAAAATCACCTCAACATTTGAAGAGTCGGTATAACATGTGAATATCCAATTCAACTTTTGAAGTTCTTATTTGTCATTAGGGACACAAATTCCACTATATTTGGACTTACTAAGTCGGAGAAAATAGAGCACTGAATACACTGAGGTAAGAATTTATTACATGTGCGACAGCATGTAATTTTCATAGCTTTTGCAATTCTTTATGATCCCCACTGTAGTGATATACATGTGTGATAATTTTTAAGTGGCATTCTGGGTTGAAAAAACTTTCGAGACTGTTGTTTTATTGTTTACATTACGAAAACATCAATAAAAAACAAAATAAACACAAATTATTAATGCAAAGGCTCTCTAGCCAAAATACTATGTTCACAGCTAAATAGACTTAAACATTAAGGCTCTTTAGCATTTTGGCTAAAGAGCCTTAAAATTTAAGGTTCTCCAGACACTTTGTACTTTTTTAGATTTCAGCGTCCATTTATTGTAATTCGCGTTTGCTAACATTCGCTCAGTTCTGAGATGAAGGCCACACGCGTAGTAAAAAGGCCAACATTGGAACTATTTGTGACCTACATCCCTATTTTCGTAATTAAAATGAAAGTTGAACCCTTTCTCTTTATTTTGATACCAAACAACAGCATGCTAGATACTTAAATTAGGTAAACTCACTCCAAAAGTGCAAAAACTTAGCTTCTTATATCTGTATATAAGATAAGATAGTCACTGCACAATATAGGGGATTGAAACAATTTCGGAAATTCGCGGAGGTCAAAGCCGACATTTGCGGGACTTCGCATGACATTGCTGGACACGCAAATAAGCCTAATTTTGATCAAATTCGCGGGATAATCCCACCATTCGCGGGACACTTGACAGCTCTGCTCACGCTATAGGCTGATCCATTCATTTCTGTGTTAAAATATTTATTCCATGTTATTTAAGAGGAAACATGAATTTTATCATGGTCAAATGGAAGCCCCAAGACCAGGCTACCTAAGTATAAAAAATTAAAGAGAGTAAAAATCTTCTATTGTTTTTGATATTTAAAGTAACACATTTACGATGTATCTAAAATATAAAAAACCTCAAAAAGTAATAGATTAGACTATATGTTGTATAAAAAGAGATTTAAAAAAAAAATTGTGTCTGAGAAATAGATAAAAAAAGAAAAAAAACTTGGTTTCGACCGGGAACCGAACCACCGACAGCTGGATTCAAGCTATCAAAAGCGGATGGTGCTTGTCCAGCGCCTTTATCCATTCGGCCACAGAGACGAGTTCTGGATGCTGCTACATACACCTCACCTTTTCCCTGAGTAATGAGTGACTGACCAGTTCTAAGCCAATTTATGAGAGACATTTTTTCATATTTTTGGAAAAAACTAAACCGGAAGTGACCTAAATACACTGGACGAAATACCCTAGATAATTCCCGGGGATTCAGTCTAAATTTTGGCGAAGATTTATATTGGCAAATTTTTCAATTTCGCCAAATTCGCCAAATTAAAGCGGGCGCCAAATTAACCCAATCTACAGTATCTTTAAAATGAGATTTTCATAAAATTTTGATGTTTATGTTCCATTTTGTTGTGATTTTGATACAAAACAATGATCAACTTTTTTTATAAAGTGGTCATAAGTGTTCAGCAATATCGTATTCCTTCACTTATACAGAATGGGTCACAGTCTAGTAGTAAAATTAGTTTGTTTTTCTTTTAAGCAGCTTTCCATATTCTAGGACATCCCTAGAAGTATAAAACACATTGAATTTATTGTGAAAGGGATTATTAAATGCTTGCAAATAATTTTACATGATAACATTGAGGGTATTAAAGTTGCAACAACTAGTGCAGGGGGGTCATTCAACGATCATCGACCAGTGTCAAAATATATTTCAGTTTGAAAAATTCATCAAGACTAACATATATTTTCATTATCTACAAAGAAACCCCCTGGATAAACATAATTTCAGCTGATATTTCTCTTGAAACATGCTCCTTTCAAAAAGTTCACACCATTATATTTTGTGTTTTGCAGATGCTAGTCTAACAAGTCAAAGCTGTCAAGAAATTCGAAATCATATCAGACTATTTGCAATCATGGGTGACAAACATTTTAGAAAATGTCTGCAAATGACCCATCAAACCATGTGACAGCTATTGAAAAAGCATTAACAGATATTGAGATTGTTAGGAAATATTTTCACAAAGACAATGTCAATGAATGGGATGATGTTGGAAATACTCCCTTAATACTCTTAATTATCCATAATGATGAAACTATACATCTGCCTGAGGATTTACACAAATTGTGGGAAAATAAACGAGAAATAATAAGATTTTTTTTTCAAATTGGTGCAAAAGTGACAGTGACCAGCAAGTGTGGAGTAACTCCTCTTCAACATTTTCTCCGGTATTTTCATGAAAGTGTATGCCAAGTTTGTATCAAAACAAACAAAGGAAGACTCGACGATGACCTTTTAGATGACTGGAGAATGATGATTTGCCTTTTGACAGAACATGGAGCAGATATAAATGCCATAAATGAAGAGGGAATCACTCCATTATGGTACTTCATATACAAATTTCTTGAGTTTAAACACGAGGATTTGATTCTTCATTATTTGTCCGAAGTAATAAAATTACTAGTTGGAAGCTTTAATGCAGATTTTCACAGAACTGATAGAAAAGATCGCAGTCCCTTAGAGTTCACATTACATAAATTGATAGAAAATGAAGCAGAAGAACAGACTGTATTTACCTATTACTTACAGCGGATTGTGAAATATCTAGCTGAATGCACAGCAATACGATCAAAAACTACAGTGGATGCCGTTTTAAGAAGACACAATTTAACAGAAAAGTGGAAAAAATGTCGATCAGTTCAGGTAAATTCACTAAAGTTGTTTACAGTTATGTCCTTATTAACCCACTGAATGAAGTTCGAGGGGGATTAAGGAAAGGTGTCTGTCCGACGTGTCCGTCCATCCATTCATCCATCTGTCCATTTGTCCAGACAATAACTCAAATACCGATTGAGGGATTTGATTCAAGAAAGAATTTTTAAGATGGCAGCTAAATTTCAAAATGGCCACCATTTTTCTTTAAAAAAGTAATTCTTGGTAACTCGAATACCAGTAAGCGGATTTGGTTCAAAGTTTATGTGCTGATGCCTAGGGACTGAAGAAGAGATTTTCAAAATGGCTGCTAAACATCGAAATGGCAGCCATTTTTCTTAAAAAACATAATCTTTGATAACTCAAATACCAGTGAATGGATTTGGTTCAAATTTTATATTGTGCCTTGGGACACACTAAAACATTCCAAAGGTATCTATAAATAATCAGTAGTACAATACCTTACATGTGCTTTATAAATCAGTAATGATATGATGGCCATTTCAGCATAATTCCTTTGCTTTTCCCTCTTACAAACTTCCTGCTCTAACTGATTTTCAGTTTGAATTTTTTAACCCACAATGCATTGGTACTTCCTGCTGTGAGAGGGCTGTGAGAGCGCTGCCACAAACTCTGGCTCAGATAGCATGTTGCTGTAATTGATCCAGCCACTTAATTACTGTCACATCCCTCTTGCAGCGATGGATGGAAATAGAATGCTGCGACAGCACTCTCACAGCGTTCTCGCAGCGTATGGATGTGAGAGCATTGTCGCTGAAATTGATCCAGCCATCAGTTTAAGCTGTCACAGCTTTTATTTTCCGTAAGGGTAGCTACAAGTTCAACAGCTGACACTGGGGAGTATCGTGATGCAACAACACCGTGTTGTTGCATCAAGATGGCCAGACTTCCGGTGATAGATTTTCGTACAATATTTTGTTTCCCCTTGCAATTTAAACCCATTTCTAGGACGAGTTGCTTAATAACCATACACGTGCAGTTAGCGCACGATCTATATTTAAAGAAACTGTCATTAGTATACATGTACCTTCACCAAGAAGCAATAAGTTCACGGTTTTAGTTCGTCACTATTGATGCAAAAACGCCAAACCGAAGATGCAACAACACTCCTCTAGATTTGACCAATGATGCACCAACACCAATAAATAGTATAATTTCAGAAGACCATAAATCTCGCGAGGAACAGATTTTAAAATGCTACTATTACAACACCCTTACCCATTACCCATTTGCGTTCTTCTCAAGGCATTCAAAATACACGTCCTGCGGGCGAAGATTCTTTATATGCATTTTCAAAAAGTTATACTTTTAAATATCATAATGTACTGGACGTTGTTCTATAACATAATTCAATCGCCTTCAACATGGCAAGCTATAGTAACCCAATCTTTTTTCATAAACCACTGTTCCATAGCTTGATGACCCTGACTCCATCATTCAAAATGGTGGACAAACATCTTTCGTTCTCGGTAAACATGACGAGCTTTTATGGAAATTATCTGTCATCCATATCAAAATATAACTAAAACGGTTTAACTGTGACATTCTTGAGCTCATCGGAGAACATTTCAAAAATAATGTTGATAGGATGATTGCTTCATCTATGATATGATATGATATGATTCTTTATTTCCTCCAATTCAGAGAGCCAACGTGTTAAAACATCTCATTGACTTTATTAGGGAGGTTTACTTACACGTTCTATGAAAATCTTGCACGGCGCACTCTAAGTATTGCTCTCTGGATTCGTTCTCTCCGACTGAGTAAAAAGGTAAACAAACGTGATAGGATTTAGGGCCCAAAAAGGTAAATTGATAGGGGTACAGTAATCCCAGATTTCCCCCAGGCCCTCGGGAAATATCATTTTGTCTCTCGGAATTAAACCAATATTGAATCCCTCTCAGTAAATAACCTCTATATAATAGCAACTGCAATATCATTAAACCAATACTCATCCTATACAACTCTTGAGAACGATGCAGTACAACTCCTGGATAGCGTACACAACTCCCGAGCAGCGTATACAATATTTCCAACTTGATATATGACGTCATACTTTGGGTGGGATAAGTGTAGATAACATATTTTAGCAAAAAATCCCCAAACCGTTAAATATTTGTAATTTTTTCAATTTTTTCAAAATTAAAAAATAATTCAACATTAAAACATTTTTTCAAAGGTAGCGGTCAACAGTACCTAGTAGCGGTCAACAGTATTGAATTGTAGACCTCTCTTAAGGTCAACTGGCAAAATTGTATACCGCTACTGTAAACCTTGATAGTACTGTTGATCGAGAACGGAGGTCGAGGTCAACAGTACTCTCAAGGTTTACTGTTGAGATATACACTTTTACCAGTTGACCGAAAAGAGAGATTAATAATTGTTTTGTTAGTCCAAAGAATATAATAATTGGAAGAATATATAAGTCGAAGGTATCATATTTTAGCAAAAAATCCCCAAACCGTCGAATACTTGTAATTTTTTACACGACTTATTTTTTCAAAATTAAAAAAATTTCATCATTCAAAATAACATTTTTTTCAAAAGTAGCGGTCAACAGTACATATTGTTGACCGCTCATCAACCAATCAGAATTGAGTATTTCAATTGAGGTACTGATAATATACAATTGTTGACCGCTCATCAACCAATCAGAATTGAGTATTTCAATTGAGGTACTAACAACACAAAATGACTGATATCTGTTGTCTTTCCATAATTATATTAGTTATTTGTAAACAATTTCCATACGGTAAATCAAGGGCATTTAATTTAGAAAGTGTATAATCTTTATTTTTTAGATACAATATCAATGAGGTTGCCTCCCGGCGATTCAATACGATTAGCCTATGTACATGTATTTAGTTTGCCTTGTATATCCTTTTAACTTTGATAAAGACAAATACATTAAGAAACCAAACAAAATACATTTCATTCATGGACCACTGACTCATGTGTTTTATTCATGTCCCGACCAACATCTGTAAACAGTACATAAAACAGTTTCTCTTGTTGTTCAATGATACATTATATTGGCATTTTTGCATCAGCACATAGGTGTTGTTGCATCATCCATAATAAACAGAGTGGTGTTGTTGCATCAATAGTGAGGAATTAAAACCGCGAATTTATCGCTTCTTGATGATGCTACATGTATGACAGTTCTTTAAAATATAGATCATGCGCTAACTGCACGTGTATGATTATTGAGCAGCTCGTCCTAGAAATGGGTTTAAATTGGGAAAACAAAATATCGTACAAAAATCTATCACCGGAAGTCTGGCCATCTTGATGCAACAACACGGTGTTGTTGCATCACACGGTGTTGTTGCATCACGATACCCCCCAGTAAGCTGAAGTGTAATGTGCCACGCCCCCTTTCTTGAATTTTTAGGGGAATGTAAAGAGAAAAATCAGAAAAAATAGATGCTTTTACTTTTTATTGAAACTTATGCAAGAAATATTTGCTAACATCATCAGTGAAGTTTTTTATCAGGCTTTATATACCATAGGCCCTTACTGTTTTTGAAATGACTGATTAACTATCGACTGATTAAGAAATTTTGAAGAGAAATTATGTACTTTTGGGGACAAATTATCCAATTCTCTACCAAATATTGTTGGATAAGACCCAAACTTTCAGGAATTCTTCATACATGCCTTACTGATATATTAACAATGTTTCATTATAATTGCAACAACCTCAAATGAGATATTAGATAGTTTCTAACATATGTTCAAAGTCAGACTCGAAAATGATAAAATTTGCAGACTCAGCACTTTTGAGCCTGCTTTGCAAGGGTTCACAAACTTTTTTTTACATGCCTTGGGGTCTGCT